CAAAATAAACTGAATGACACATTAGACATTTCTTATTGAATTCAGATGTAGCATATGTTCTTATTTGAAATAAATTTTACTGTTAAAAGTTTATTAACTTTTCTTCCAATATACCATATTGGTATTTATCAATATTAATAGCACAAAAAAACACATATATTGCTTATAATAAGTATTATAAAATAACATACATAAGTTAAATTGTGTGTACTTTTATTTTCATAATTATACTGCCTTGTTGAAGAGGTGGATTTTTATTTTCTTAGTAATTCATTCATGAAGATTTTTGCCAAGGCATGAGAATCTAAAAAACCAATGTTAAAATGTTTTAACTTATAAAACTGATTATTTGTCCTTGCCTGACATATGCAATGGGGTTGGGGGGAAGGGGTCAAAATCTCCTATTTTTTGTTTAGAGTAGGATGTCATTTTTTTACAATTTGAAAATAACAGCAAAAATTATATTTTACCCTTTTTCAACATATTTTTTCATATATAAAACAATTCCTTGCGACTTTAGACATAATGAGAAAAATTTGTCTTAATAAAAATAATGAAATTAATGAATAGAAGACTGTATACTGAAAGTTTTATCACAAAAGAATTTTAATCTAGTAGATGGTGTAACTAGTGATAATTTATTCTCTGAATGTATATATGAAGAAGATGAATCTGAGACTGATAGACCAACAACAAAATTTTAAATTTGTTCTGAGCCTCTGTAGGTTCTGTAACCAATGTAGAAACAAGCATTACATGTAGATGTTTTTATAATGATTCTGGCATATTTATCTTAAAGGAGCTAAACCTCTTTGGCAACTAGAAATGGACACAAATGTAATATGAATGTATATAAAATGATTTGGCAAAATATGCGAAAAGTCCAAATTGAATGGCAGTCTTTGGTGCCTAGTTATTCTAGTCTACACCATATTCTCCTTTGGGAAATGTTTAGTCTCGTTCATCGAGTCGCTTCATTACAAATGGCACTCGAAAGCATTCTGACACACAATACATGTGCCAATTTTAAAATTTTCATTTTGTCTTAAATATTGGATATCAGAAGCCCATCTTTTCACGGTAAGATAACAACATCCATGTTGATTAAAATTGACCAATAAGTCATGTTTGCAATGTCGAAGACTGTGGATGATAGTTTTGATACTGAGTTAGCAACTTGCCTCCCTAAAATTATTTGTATGTGATTTAATGTCCAGATATTCTAAACACAGCAATTAATAGATGATGGATGTTTCCTACAAACTCAATACTGGAATCACAAAAAAACAAGACACTAGAAGAGAGTCGTAAGTGGCATCATCAGCATACAAGAAGTGATTGAAATCAAACAAAACTGGGTATAAACTATAAGGCAACTATCACAGATATTGTCGGGCACCAATTCAGGCTTTGTCAGACACCGTCTCCATGGTAGTTGTTATTTTCTCAGACACAGATTTGACAGTGTTTTTTTTTATATTATTAATACATGTTCGGCATAAAGTTCAAAATGTCAGGTACTTTAGATACAACTAAAACACTTATTTCGAGACTGGATATCAAGCACCCAGACATCTTGTGTACAGTATAAACAATATTGGTTTGAGAATGGATCCCTGGGCCACCCCACAATCAAGCTATATAAATTAGACTCAGCTTTAATTGTTGATCCATCTGTCATCTGTCAGTAAGATAAAAAGAAACCCAGAGCAAGGCCATACTGGTATTTGTGGAAGCACTGATAAAGTCTTCTTGGCAGAATATGGTGATCCACGATGTTGAATGTGTCATGGACAACAGTTTAAAATCCTCAACGAAGAGCAAATTATTCAGCACAAAAATAATTGCTGTTTCTGTATGCTAAATGAAACTAGTCCAAAAGATTATGAGAGACAACGAAGAACTGTGATCATTGATTTGTGCCATTTTCAACAATTTGGGAGATGAATAACAGGTTCAAGACTGGTCTGTCAATCTTGAGGACATTATATAGCAATGGAAATATTCCTGATGTACAGGGCTGCCGACAACCTGTATCGCAGCGCAATTTGCGATACATATTTTGTCCGTTGCTAATCAAAAATTAAAATCTAACGTTTTTGATTCGCAGTAACTGCGAATCATTAATATGCCTGCCATTATGGATATTGACAGAAAGATTATCCACAGTTTGAATACTAGGAGGCTTTCTCAACACTTTCAACGTGTATAAAATGTCAAATAAAATTTTATAAACAAAACTGAATTCTCCGTGTGACATTTTCTTCTCGGACTACCCAGACTGAATTCATAATAAAATATCAATGAATATAATACAGGGACATAACTCTATGAATAGGGACTATTAAACCGGAAATAGGGAATCAAGTAGTACCACTCACGTTGCGAGTCATGTCAATTTCAAGTAATTATATCAGTATGCATTTTGAAAGCAGTAAATCCAGTGTATCCCCCACGTATTGTAAATAAAATATAAAAAAAATAAATACGTGTTAACGTATTGTAAAATGATAAATCAAAGTAAGAATTCCCGTAATATATTATTGCGGTTTGTCTAGTTAATCGATGTGCGCCCGATTGAACAAAAATAGTAATACACGATAAAAAGAAGACGAAATTGTTTTCTAACGAAGATTTCTAAAGTAACGAAGAAGTAACAATTAAAATGAGTGGGGCATCGGAAGACACTGCCAAGAATTGGCTTCAGACATAAGACCTAACCAAAAGTTTACATCACATTCACAAACTGTCACAACTACATGTGGCAGTGCTAAAAAAAATTGGGAGAATGAAATCTAATCATAATTAAAGTAATATCTAGTTATTTGGGTTGTTTTATGTTGAAACTGAAAAACTGCTAACCAATTTAAAAATTGGTTAGGCTTTGCTAATCAAATTTGGCAAAATTGGACTTTTTGATTAGCAGTGCTGCTAATCAACTGTGAAAAATTACCGACAGTCCTGCTGATGTAAGACTGGGCCATAACTTTTGACAGTAATTATTGGAAAAAATTGAAATCAATAAACTCCGTTCTTTCATAAACTTAAATGCTGTGCATCAATTGTGTATGAATGAGGGGGTCATGACAATATACAATGACATTTCCATATGGGCATATAATAATGCCTTTTTCTAAGCTACTACCGAATTGATTTAGTATAATATTTGTTTTATTCATCAAGTATTGACTATAACCACATTAAAAAGATACAATAATCCAAAAGATCTAAACGTCCCTTTAAAACGTTGTGTACATGTAGGTAGGCTAAGATATTATGTCAGAAGAAAACAAAGATTTCTGATAATCTACTAGAATGATCGCACTACACACACAAAACAGACAAGCAAACAGACAAAACCTGACAAACACACCATCTATAGAAACAAAATATGGATGCAACAGTTCTTCAATAATGTGTGACAGTCACAGCTCTTTAGAGGTGACAGGAAACTAAAGAAGCTGAAGGCATGCGACCTCACAATAATGGAGTCAAACGCTCAATCGAAGTGTTGTGTGTTTTTTATATTATACTATTTTGACATCTGACATATTTTCTTTGGAGTTAGTGCTCAGCATTTTGGACAATCAAATTGTCTGTTTGGAAATAAAGGGCTACACTTTATGGTAAATTATGAGAATTTTAAAACAAGTGATTAATTCTGATGGATATATAGAGAATCTCCTACCAGTCTTTTTTGATATCAAAAAATATCAACACAAGTTGATAAAGTCAAAAAAGATGAGTAGGAGATTTTATTTATCACCCAATCCCTTCTTACATACACAAATAGATAAATATAATTGTTTGCTGTAGATTTAACTTTTACTGAACATTATGGCGTAGTGATACATCATTTTTTGACAGCAATTCAACCATTGCAAAGTCCTTTATATTGACCCAGTGTCTCCATCAAAGTCAATTGAAAAACAATAGTTCATTTTTGATAAAAAAAAATTACTTTAAATAAGAAATGAACTGTTCTTTGGAAATAAAAAAAGTAGTTCCTTTCAACTGACCAATCAAATTCATGTAAAGCGATATCTCCTAGATTATGAAATATATCACACAAGCGATATCTACTGTAGAATGTATTTATTGGGTGATAAATATAGTTATAGTACGATAGGCAGATACAAACAGAACTCTCCTCATTGGCAGAGTATGGTTAGATTACAATGTTGTGTAAAAAGCAATCTGATTAAAATACAGATCTACATTTTGTTTCGGTTTTGTTATACTTTCAATGGCCTACACTACATGAAGATCTGACCAGTTGTAGTGGGAGGTCATGTCAGAGGTCATACATGCAGCTTTTGACCCTATAACGTCAGAAATTTGATTAACCAATTGGCATTGATGTTTTTAGTGGGTTACCCACAGTTCTGTGAACCTCACGCCTTCAACTCCCTGTAACAGACCCTTCGATTGGCTAATCCCTCACATCATCCAGAACGCAGGTTATATAAGAACTCTTCCAGATCCTAGTATAGTAAAGACAAGTAAAATAAAATTTTGAACTATAAAAAACGAAACGAAATAGGATCTGTGTTTTAATCAGATTGTGTAAAAAAAAACAAGAAATCAAACTGTAATCTAATCTGATTTGAGGATGGAATTATTTAAGCCTGATGTGTTGAACTTCTTATCTAAGTTAACACTTGTCTACATCTAAACTTATAGGTCCAGAACTTATAGGTACAAGTTGAGATAGAAATATTTTCATGCCCAATGCCAAAACAACTTTATTTTGACCGACATCTAAGAGGTTTGGCTCTATAACTCAAGAGCTTATTGGGTATAGTTTAATAAGTTTAAAATGAGACCAATGTGTGAAAGTTTTCATGGCATCCTATATTTCACTGGCTAACATGCAATTAAAACAAATGTATGTAAGGGTTCCGTTGACAGTGGGTGCCATTTGTCCATGTATTTGAAGGATGGTGTCTCTGGGACCTTGGGCAGTTCCAGAGTCAATGATTATGAATGGATGTACTTACACATCTGTTTTAGGATCATATATTTCTACAGATTTTAATGATGAAACCCCATCATATCCACCACATACATATAACTGACCATTTAATGCAGCGGCGCCTTGAGCACTGAAACAATAATAAATTAAGAGTTAAACCTTGTAATAAACCTTTTTCCTATATTCAGTATTAATGAAAATGCAGCAGTATGAACCACTGATCTATTAATAAACTCACTAAAGGTTCATGCAGCCATATATCATCTGAACAGCAACATCTTTCAGATCTAATGAAGCATATAAAATCAGAACAATGAAGACGAAACAAAATAAAGATATAATTATGATTGTACATTTTTCCTGTCCTGAAATAAGATGCCTTATCTCTGTATATCCCATTTTATAGGCCTGCATAAAGGTATCGGACTATCGGTAGGGTGATACACATAAATTTATCAGTTTTGGTGGTTGATATTGCGTTCAGATGTAAGGGAGGTAATCGGGTTTTATGTGTTACCCAGAAAACAAAAATCTGTACTGCTAGGCGAACACCCAGAATTTGGATTACCAGTACCAGTAACTATTATCAATCCCCAAAAGAGAGGAGACCGGGTTTAACGTTCACTCGACACAAACTAGGTCATTTTGGGACTAACATGGTTCAATTTTATTTCAATGATTTGCTTGAGCATAAGGGTCTTTAGCAGTTGGAGAAAACCAGAGGACCCGAAGAAAACCCACTAGAGTGGACAAGCGACCATTTGGCTATCTAACCCCCCAATCCCCAAAATTGACCATGGATTAATGGAATCATATCAATATAGAATATCTATAATAATTATAGCAAGAGCCTTCTTATAGAAAAAGTCAGGGATATATTTCAGAATATAAAACTGGCGTGTACTCTGTGGAAGGCTATTAGTATTCTTCTTTCTAACCCACTCTGTAATCAAGAGTTTGTGATGAGCTTCTTAATTAAGTGGCTGACACCTTGTACATGTACCTTGACATACTGTGCACAGTGATATAATCCCATGATATTCTCCATAATAGGTTACTGTTGCGATTTAATTATCAAGTCATTCACTGGATAAACGAAGGCAGTTACTCTAAAAGAGTATTATCAACTTCCGAAAAATGAAATAGATCATTTGAATTGTAGCTTGTGAATTTCTAAGCCTGTTGATTACAGTTTCATTCTCAAAATCTCATCCAAACTAAGCTACAATTATGCGTGCTTGCTTCATGAATTTTTTCTGTTGTTTTATCTTTAAACAGTATTTTACTTTCTTACCTTCTTTTACAATTCATAGGAGCAACCTTCCTCCATTGTTTTTTCTCTGGTTCAAAAACTTCTACTGTATTCAATCTTTCGGCACCATCATTACCACCTATTGCATATAGTTTACCTGAAAATAAACTTATATATACACTGTCATGGTAGTCATGGTAGATAAGAGTAAATTAACTTCCTCAATTGAAACTTTTGTACACACTGCTGATTGGGTAGTGAGAATAGTGTACTAGCCAATAAAAACCTACAATACAAATAACTGTTAAAATTAATTGTGAATTAGCCACAGTTTGTTAAATGTAAAACTAGAAGACCTAATTTAATGAAACTTCTCAATCAATGATTAATTAAAGTTGGATAAAAAGAAACAAGAACTAAATAAATGTGATGAAAACTGTCAGTGTGGCAACTTTAACTCTTGCCTCAAGTAGTGACTTCCTATAACAGCAATTGCTTACATACCATCTAATACTGCTACACCAACCCGACTTCTCATAGTACTCATAGCTTCTGCTATTTTCCATCTATCAAGTATAGGATCATATCTTTCTACGGTACTCAATGATTCTCCTGTTAAATAAAGATAAAACTTATTATTGCACAAATGTACGTCAAATGATCCAGGCACATAAGGCAGGTGCAGTTTTGTCTTTGAGTTGAGAGTTTTTCCATAAAAATTGTAGTCAATTTAAAAAAACATGCAAAATAATTCAGCTTTCTCAATATGTACATGGCTTATTGTTTTTGATGTGTTGAACTTGAAGCGACTCAAAAAATCTCCATCTTCTAAAATTATGCTTTTTTTTTCTGACTATAACTGTTGGACATCTTTTTTTAAAAAAGTTAGGGAACAGTCAGAAGGTTCAGACTACTGTTTCAGCCTTGGACAACTCGCACCTACTACACCCCTTTAGTGCCTCAATCTGCTGAAGTTATCTGAATAGCTCCAAACTGCATACTAGTTCTGTGAGTAGGGTGAGTCGGACTAAGGTGTCATAGTTTCGGGCAGCTTTTAAAATGAGCTATAAATCTCAATGTAGAATATATCACTTTTTTCACAGAACCAGGTAGTCAGTATTTACATGTACAAAGTACCACAGGGTTAATTTCGAAAATGTACAGGTCTGCCAGAGGTCTGATGGGGTATATAAAAAAAAAAGTTGCCAACCTGATGAAGTTAGGCCACCTACGGCATATATCATACCAGGTACATCAGTACAGCATCGTGGTTTAGTTTTAAATGTCTGCAGTAATGGACGTCTTTCTGGCATTAGATGGTAATCTCTAGCTTCATCTAATAAATCCCTGAAAATAAAACATTAATAAATATCCTAAAATTCAATTGGAATTGACCTAAACTTCGTGAACTTGAGAAAATCAAGTCTTAGTAAAGTAGGTGATTCCAATTTGCAATAGGACTGACTTCATCAACAGGAACATTTCAAAATATTCTTTACAAACCCTCAAGAAAAAATTTTCTCCATGTTATCAGGTGTTGTAAATTTGCAAGCTTTTTAATTTTGACAATGAATTAAAAAAAAAAAAATTAAAATAGAATTTATTGGGAGAAAATTTTAACAATTACTACCATGATCTTGGATAAACCATCTAGTAACCAAAATTATCAATTTTTCAAAATAAGTCTACAAATTTTAATTTACCTGCATTTTAAACAGCTTTTGACAAGTTCTTCAGTAGCTACTCTATCAGTTAAATATTGAGGTGTTAATAATGGTAATCTAAGCCTAACTAATACTTCTGGGAAATGTTCTTTTCTTTCTTTTAAATCTTTCTTTACCCAATCCAAAGCAGATTCAAATACCTAGATACAGATAAAAAAAAATATTAAAGTCATTAGTGTACTATTAGTTACCTTCAAGCCCATTTTGATATCATCTCAATGGTTACCTTCCAACTTATTTCTAAGACTAGCCAATTCAGGTCAATAGCATTTATGACACAAATAGGCATATTTTACAGACATAAACTTTAAAATCTAATAAATATATATATTTCAAATATGCAAAGTACTAGAAATAAATGAGTTTTTCAGGCGTGTTCAGTCATATACTGCGAAAACAATTTGGTGATAAAAGTTTCAGTTCTGCTGCACCTCACTTTTGGAACCAATTGCCAGTAAACATTAAAGAATAAAACTCAAAAAAATCATCTTGTAAACTGTATTCAAGAAAGTTTAGAAACTTTAATTTTAACTCTAATAAGCCTCAATCAATCTATAATCTTATTTTACTTACTTGTTCTTCATTGCTCACGTTAAGTTCATCTCTTGATACAATGTCTAAAAATTCTGTTTTAGTTAAGTTCATAAATTCTTCCGTCAATGAAACTTGCTTATAATTATTTTGCAAATATTTATTAGCCGCCTCTACAAGATTCGTACACATATACTGATCGGCAAAAGATCTTACACCTAAACAATTCTGTGGATGTAACCTACAACAAAAGGAACCATAAGAAAATGTTCCGGACTTCAATACAACACACTTGGTTTCCACACTAAGACCCACCTTACTAAAACTAGGCATACAGCTGTTAGAATAGGCCAAGAAAAAAATACCTGTGTTTACGGATACTTGGTAAGAAAAATGAGTTTTAGTCAGTCATACAAAAAGAAATTTCTATTTGTTGTGCTTGTTGGATTGAATTGAACTAATACAAATAATTGTTTAATAACCTACATCGATACTTCTATTCTATAGCCTTTGGTGCCTCATTTTAAATACGATATTACGTTTATTCTACATGTTCCTTGTCTTTATTTCCTAGCATTTCTTGCTTAATTATTGGGTATGGTTTTTGAAATTCACTGTTGTAAATACAGAAAATTTGGAATTTCGTCTGCAGAAAACCACACCAAGACCGAGTTGTTATAGAACCTTGGAAATGAGGAGGAAAAAATTTCAGGATCGGCGATTTGGGCTAAAAAGAAATAGGGTCGATCAGGTAACCGTAAGCATAGGTATTTTTTTTGGAGAGAGAGAGAGAGAGAGAGAGAGAAATGGGGTTTAACGTCCACTCGACATAAACTAGGTCATTTCGGGACTAACATATGGTTTAATTTTATTTCAATAATTCGCTTGCGCGTAGGGGTCTTTAGCAGTGGGAGGAAACCGGAGGACCCGGAGAAAACCCACGAGGTTGGACAGGCGACCCTACTCCTTGTCACGTACAACCAGGGATTCGAAACCACGCCAGTTGACTCAATGACAGGTCTTATGATACAGCACGCACGTGCTAACCATTCGGCCATCCAACCCCCCTATTTTTTTTGGATCATATAGCCATATCATACCTGTACATACATAGCTTTCATAATTAATATCCTATAAAAACGATGTTCAGATTATATGAACATCTTGACTAATCAAAATATTTCTTTTGGTATACAGGGCTGAATATCATGGTGGATTATGGGAAAGCCTAGATGAAAACGTATCTTAGTGGTGATGGGAATATAACCATTTGAAATACAATTGTTTAATAAAGTCATTTATTTATTGGTTGCATCAAAAGGGATTTCAGTGTTTCGAGAACATGCATTAAAGCTTTTGAAATTTGAAACAAAACATACATGTCACAAGACATGCATGACCATTTATTTATCAAGACCAGTGAAGAGCAAAAAATATCTTTCCTACCTGTCTTTAAGAAAATTGCAACATGCTTCTTTAACACATTGTAGATGAAGAAAACTTGCAGCTATAAGTAAGGACTGAACATTGTTTGCTTCAATCTGTAGTCTTCCATCATACGCAAAATTTACAAGCGATTCTAAAGCACTAAAATACATACATAATACATAAATGAATGAAATGGGGTTTAACATAATTTAATTTTCTGTACCCACATGGCTAATGAAGATAGGAATATGTGGGAAATGTTGTTCAGACAACAACTCTTACATGTAATTCAACTTCCAACTGTTGGGGTATCTTTAACATGCTATCAATGGTATACACAAAACCTACATCCCCTGGATATGTTCGACTTTGCAAAAAATCTTTTCTTTTTTTTTCATTTTCAAACAACCAATGCAGTTAGTTAACAAATGGATTTATGTATCAAACAGAACAGCTACTCAAGTATACTTTGAGCAGACAATGAGATCAGATTATACATTTAGTACCCAGCTTTAACTCCCTCTAGATTATCCAGGATAATATTACATGTGGTATATAAATTCTTGAAGAGAAGAATTAAAAGAAAGATGAATATAGTTTTAAACAAAGTAAAAGATGTGTCATATTTATACAGAAAGACGTTTTGTATCTGGACAACAAAGAATTTTTTGCAAACCTTGGTTCAATTCCTTGCATACATATTTCATCTTTCTTCGATTCCACCATATCATTTGTAAACATTGCATTGAAATATGGAATACTGGCAGCCAGAACAATTCTATGTGCAGAGAACCTTTGATCTTCTACCTGAAAGAACCAAAGTATATCTCTATGAGGATATATAATACTTGAGCGGCATTTACATTTAGCTACTTATAACAATAAAAGCAACAACCATCTATGTTGTATTTTTATATCTATTGGATATCATTTGGAAATGAAATAGGGTTTAACGTCCTACTGTTCTGCTCTTATACTGGGCTAATGAAGACGGGCATACGCCAATCAGTGTGCTATGAGGGAAATTTTGCCGGGAAGCGGCACTATCGCCTACTCTTATATCGAATTCCAACTGCCAAGGGATCTTTTACGTGCATTTCAATGTATACACAGGACCTCGGTTTTTTGTATCATCCGAAGGGCTAGACAGCTGTCCTTGTCAGGCCCTCCGTTATGCACCACTGACAAGAGGAAACCACCTCGGAAAATCCCGATGAACTTTTTCGGCCAATGCAGGGATCGAATACCCGACCTCCAGGCTAGCTAACCAGCGTCTTAACCACCTAGCCACCTTGGCTCCGGATATCATTTGGGTAAATGGATTTATGGCAATATTGCACCAGTGTAAAGAACACAGTATTTAGCTAGATAATGCTTAATCAAATATGGAATTTCATATACAGTGTAAACAGAAATAAGCAACAGCTGGATTCAGTATAAATTCAATAAGCAATTTTGTGTGACAATATTCTTCTTTTGCCTACAATTTTTATTTTACTTTCTTTGGCATAAAAATATTGCGTCCAGATAACTTCAGAAGAGCAAAATATTTAATAAATAATGGGAAGAATTAGTGGATAAAGCTTGCCCAAGAAGATTTTATGACCCATTCTGCTGATGGTAAACAACGATATTTAAACCGAGCCCTTCTAAGTAAAGCATAGGAAGACACACGAAAAAAGGTCTAGGATTACTGGTACTAAGACAATAACATTAGCATCATTATGATTACTAGTAGGTCTACTACTACTGTCTGAACCATCATAAATTTTAAACAGATTTCATTGATTATGTACAAACTACTTAACTTTGGTTATTATAAACTTAGCTGTGTGTTTGGAATCAAATCGCGTTTAATAAAATCCATTGCACGGCTAAATACCCCAGAGTAAAAAAAGTTCTCTCTTGAAAAATTGAAATTCCACAAACTTTAAATTCGAGCAATATCAAATTGGAAGCTGATTACATCACTCTTTGAGGGATATCATTTTGTATAAAGGAGTGACAGCATACTACATCGAAACGTTTTTCGGTACTTTTACGACAATTCAAGTGTATTCCTAAATTTCCTTTACTTTGTTACCGTCTTTTACATTCTAATAAAATCTATGCAAAGTTTATAGCTTTCCCGTTAGAATTATATTGTTTTAATTATTTGATTAGAGACAAGGATGGGAGAATTTTCACAATGCGGCACAAAAACAATGAGAATGTTACGGAAAGGTTTAGCTCCTTTAATAGTAAATGCAGGAGGACATCACTAGATGCAAAAGCAAACCTGCGGAGAAAACAAACTACATAGACATTGGAAGAAATACACTGTGAATGGTTGCCCTTGTGACACTTTGGTCAAAACTGTCGAATCTGGAAGTAATGTTGCGCTCCTTACGGGCTTCTTAGCATCATAAACACACCCAATAGGCACTGTCAGGGTCTGCCGCAACACGCTTTTAGATGTTATTGAAACGGTTATTATTAGATTGAAAGAATGCTATCAAATTGACAATGCACTCAGATATGCCAGACATGAACTTTATGTTGATTGTTAAATTATTTATAATATAAAAGATGATAGGAAAGTTTTAGTTTATATGACTTTTATGACTTTATTTTTATGAGTATCCGTGCAATGGTTTCAATACAAATCTCCTATGTAATTGCCTTAGTTTGATATTTTTCGTTGCCCAAACTCAAGATATCAAAATGGGTTGCGCTTTGTTTTGATTGCAACATGTGGATCGGTCAAAGTTTAACCAACCCGAGCAACTTCATTGGTTTTGCCAAACACGTGACGAAAGTCATGTTGTCTCCACTCAGCTGAAATTACAAGTAAATAGTCAAATTTTTCAAGAGAGAACTTTTTTATTCATTGAAATATTAAATTGTGCAATGGCTTTTAAAATTTACGACGGTTCAGACAGTAATTAATTTACAAGTGAATTGATTGTTGTTCAATCAATGTTGCTAATCTTTCTTATTCTTAGACAACATATTATTTTAATGGGACCAACTGGTTTGGGAATTTTTCTGAACTAATTCTGTTTACTGCACTATTCACCTTTAATGTCACATCACAAAGCTTTCCTTGCCTTCTAATATCGGCAATGGAAGAAAATGCGAGCGAAGGCAAATCTTCTTTACAAAAAACAACTACATCATCCGCCATCCTTGTTGTTGTGATTTGTACTTGATTGTCAAGCTGTCACTTTTATTAACAAATTATTAAGGCTGGTCAATCGAGAAAGAAAACTGACAATTAATTTATCTCCCCTTACACAGCGCTTCACGTTTCCGGTACGCACGTTTCCGCTGTCCTTGTCGGTAACAATCATTGACATTGGTCAAAATGGCTTCACTGAAGCTTTCGCATTTCGTTCGACAATTTAGTACAACAGTAGCAAGGAAAGGACAAATTGTTCAGGCGCCTATTCAGATATTTGGTATTGAAGGTAGATATGCACATGCTTTGTATTCTGCTGCCACAAAGGAAAAGAAATTAGATGCAGTGGAAGGTGAATTAAAAGCTTTGGGGTCTCTATTAAAAACTGATGCCAAGTTTGCGGACTTCTGTAATGACCCATCTTTAAAGAGGACAGAGAAAAAAGCTACCATAGAAAAGATATCTGCAAAGCTCAAGTATTCCAGCTTAACCAGTAATTTACTTGCTGTTCTGGCTGAAAATGGAAGAATAAAAAAAATAAATGGAGTAGTTTCGGCTTTTGAAAAGCTCATGTCTGCCCATCGTGGAGAAGTTCAGTGTGTAGTAACAACCGCCAAGCCTCTTGATAATGCCAGCAAGAAAGAAGTCCTGACAACCCTACAGGGATTTTTAAAGAAAGGAGAGTCTATTCAATTGGAAATGAATGTGGATCCCTCTCTTATTGGTGGTATGCTGGTGACTATTGGAGATAAATATATAGATATGTCTATAGCATCAAAAGTTAAAACCTACACTTCACTAATTAAGCAAGCTGTATAGAACTTTTATCATAATAAAAAGACTGACAACTGTGAAGTGCTGTAGATTAATAACATGTAAACAAAATGGGACAATAATCTATCCCGTTAACTATTTCTGTAAATTTCATAACATGTATTAGATGGAAATTTAATTTATATTTGAAATAGCATTTTGATGTTTTCAATAAATAGTTACGGTTACTACATTATGGACAACCACATTGTTAAAAATTGAGATATATGTAGAATTTGATGGAAACGGAAATGTAATAGAGTTTAACATCGTACAGTTCTACTCCAACTGGGCTAAGGAAGACGGGCTTGCGCAATATATAGTGTGCTAGAGTATTAGGGAAATTTTTGCCTGGACAGTGACGCTACAGCCTACTCATATAGAATTCTAATTGCCAATATGTACACAGGACCTCAGTTTATTGTCCCATCCAAACAACTATATGTTGTCCCTTGCCAGGCCCTTGGTCCTGCACCACCGACACAGAGATACATGTATGTAGAATTTGACAGAAATGAAATGGGGTTTATTGTCCTATGGTTCTGCTCCAACTGGGCTATTGAAGACGGACATACAGTGTGCTACAGTACATGTATGAGGGAAATTTTGCCCAACCAGCAGCGCTACCTACAAGTACAATCTACTCTTTAAATTTTAAAATTCAAATTTCCAAGGGATATTTTACATGTCTGCTAGAAAAGCCAGTCGTGGTGTAGAGGCCAAGTCCGGTATATGCGCAGCCATGTCTTTTGAGATGGTGTCTGGTGGAACCTCTCGGACTCATGGTGGTGGTGGTGGTGCTGAATGGGTAACACGTGCGTGTTGAATCAGATTGTCTGTTATTGAGTGAAGTGGCGTGGTTTCGATTCCCCTCATGGGTTTTCTCCGGGTCTTGAACGATATGTTAGTCCCGAAATGACCTAGTCTGTGTCGAGTGGACGTTAAAACCCGTCTCATTTCTGTATCTCTCTCTCTCTCCCAACCTCGTGAGTTTTCTCCCACTGCTAAAGACCCATACGCGTAACTGAATTCCTGAAAAAAAATTGAACGGTCATCTGACTGTATGATAGTCCTGAACTGACCCAGTTTGTGTGAGTGAACATTAAACCCCACTTCTCTCTCTTTCTCTCTTATTCTTGGTTCTGGGGATAGTAACAAAAAAAGTAACCTACACTGTGCACCACTGGGGTTGTGTTGACTGAATCGAGTGTCAGTAGATAAATTAAACGGATTAAAAATCACATAGATTTAAACAATATTTATTTGAAATGTTTACAATTATATAAATTCATATACATGTAGTCACTTCCTCACTGCACTATGAAATGAAATGTTCAAATTCATAGAGATATTTTCATCACAACGAGATGACCTATAGGATGATTATTAGTCTGCATTATGCTGTCAAATTTACAATTTCGTAATTAGGCAGTCCCCTTGATCCCACTGATATACATTTAAATAACCACATCTGGCAAAATGATTGGATGAGGTATAAGATGGGTATGAGGATGTTCCGGAACACTGTGTGGTTGGGATGTTACTCTCCCAATTGTTGTCAATCAGAGCTTTAAACTCAAACCAACCGTTGTACGATTTGCTGCAAAACATATCGACATCAAGTAACCAATAGTTTGGTCCATACCTGCAAGAGACAGTTAACCGATCTATTATTATTCTTTAAGTGTAGTCGTAGTGACAAATTCAACAATAAGCTGGAAACATACCTCATTTTAACTGAAATTTTAGACACCACTTTATTAATTGAATTGTTCAGTTCACAAGGTTGCGTCTAGCTCATTATGGCGAATTGAGATTAAAAAAAAAAAAAAAATAAAATAAATAAACATGCCAAATCACAAACAATAATTACCTTTTTGAGATATGTGATCTATAATTTTGCGCTAAAAATTAAGCAAACCTAATAACAACCTTCATTTAAAAAATCCATTTTATGAAACATGGACATTAATAAAAGGGCAATTACTACCACTTTTGGGATCTCTGAAATTAATAGAGTAGCTATTTATTACTTTTTCGCAAACCCAATGGGAATATTCATAAAAAGAATCCATTGAATGAAATCTGGGCATTAACTTACGTGTTAAAAGAGCTATAACTACCACTTGTCTCATCGTCTGTAGTCCACAATAATGGAGTACCCTCGGCTTTTTTACCGTTAACTCTTCCAAATTGTTTTGGTTCTTTGCCGAACCAGTCTACGTATTCGTCGCCCTTAGACCACGTGTTAAAGCTCGCATAGGCTGCCGATGTTCCCATAGATCGATGTCGTATTGGAATAGCACACTGACTCGTACTTGCAAGATTGGTGCAACCTGAAAAGTTAATTGCATAATTTAAAGGGACGACGTTGTTAGATAATTCTGTCGATTGAGGTAATTAACAACTATGTCGTATTGGAATGACATATTGCAAAATTTGTACAACTTGAAAATTACTTGAAAGCGGGACCGGATTGAGCTTGCACGGGGTCCCTGGCTGAAAAGGTCACTGGAATCCTTGCAACGATAACGAAAAGGGGGGGGGGGTATTTTGGTCTGGTCATTTATTTATGGGGGGCTCCCTTTTGAGATTGGGGTCCCCACAATCCAGTCAGACAGCCCCCCCTCCCCGCCGCTCTAATCCGACCCTGCTTAAAAGAATAGTGTGTCGATAATGTTTCTTAAGATGTTGAAAAGAAAGAAACTCTTGAGGAGCCTTCTTCCGTTACTGGAATAAAATGTTGTTATTGTACCTGATCGTTTACTGTGATCTATACCGCCTCGTAGAAACACGTTCTGTCCAAACTGGGTCTCAACTTTAATGAGAATAACGGTCCTCCTCCAACGCCTCGGCAAGGACGGTAACAGCGGATGGATGGATCTATTACGACAATGCTTATGGATTCTGTTACGTGGTTTCTTGCCGCCTGTAATAGAATAATATACAAGAAGTTGGATAACCGACACCACAGATGTTTATTTTCGGATGAATAGTTCGGTTCCATCTGTTGGATTTGTAGAGTTTACCAAGGTACAAACTGCAGCGAAAGCACCACTAGGCGACTGTGGATGGAAAGTTGTATAGGTATAGGCCTGCACATTTTGAAATACATCTGTCAAACTATTCCTGAAATGTACACTATTTCATTAACATTAGTGGTTTCAAGGTGTTTAACGAATTCTCGTGAACAATTCCTTACATTTAATTTTCGATAATTAGACGTCTTAAAAAATACATTTATATTTGGAATAAGTTATTGTTAAAGAAACTTACATTCACGGAGTGGTTTGTTATGAAGTTTGTTGGGTTGACAATTCAATTTCAGATACTAACCTACCATGAATGCCATGAATGGTTCCTGTTCTGGCCAAAACACAACTCGAGCTCTGCCATTACCATCCACCGATAAATCCATTTATCCAGAATTCCTGACTTTGTCATGACAAAGAAACCCTTCTGACCTCGGGAAAATGATACACTCTCTGAAGATACTATGTAATTTTGAACGCTCAATCCGGCCATTTTGTTTCTGAATTTAACCATATTTGCAATTTGTGGCCATCGGTGTTCACAAATCCATCCATTGGTGCAGGAACCATCTACTGATCTTTCAACATTCTTAATTGTATTATCTTCATTGTGTGGCGGACCATCGTCAAAATTACTGAAATTGTAACTGCTAATTACTCGCACGAAGCCATATTCGTAGGCCAACGTAAAGGTTACAGCCATTTTATACATGTTTGGTTGTTTGTATGTCAGGATAGAGCTTCCGGCACCCTCATTTCTTTGGTTGTCATGATTATCGACAAACACTAAAGCATTTTTGGAATCTAACATATTGAGCGCAGGGTCAATCAGCGACCGAAAATTATCGAAACTTCTCACAGCATTGTTTATTTGTTTACCGTATCTAAATTCGGTGACGTAGCCAGATTCGGTGTATTCTTGTGCAGAAATGGCCTCTCCGCCATTGTCAATAACTTCGGAGACGAAGAAAGGTCTGCTACCAGAGGGTAGATCCGCTACGCCATTTTGGATAGCTTTGATGTCACTGGGCCACATGTGTTTTGCCGCATCCAATCGAAATCCAACCACCCCAATCCGAATTAGTTTATTCAAGAAGTCAATCAGTTTTTGTCTCACGTAAGACAATGAAAGGTATAAATCTGTTAAAGCCACGAGGTTGCAGTTTCTAATATTCCTGGCATCTGTATAATCGTTGACATCACCATTATTAGAGGGACACAGATATCTCGGCGTGAAATGCACTCTGGAATAAGGAACTGCCGGAAATGAGAGTCTTGTAGCGTCAAAATAGGAACCAGCTGAACCATTCCCATGACGATCCCCAGCTGCCATGTGGTTCATCTGAACATCGACATATATTCTGAAATATAGGGAAATGTTTACTTAGATAGGATAACAGTTGGATACGAACTGAATAATAGACTGCATGTCTGAATAGCAATGGTAAAAACAGTATAAACCTACCGGATGCCAACAGCATTACATCGTTGAACCATATTGATGAATTCTGTTTCGTTACCTCTTCTACTGGTTAACTTATAGCTAACTGGTTGGTAACTTTCCCACCATGGTCTATGAGGACTCAGGACTACGACATGTTCATTCGCTGGAGAAACCTATACAATGGAAACAAAATGAAACGCATATTTATTACAAAACCTTCTAAAAGCATAGTTTCAATATTGGGAGGAAACATTAGGCCTATAACTAACAAACAATAAGTCGCTTGCAGTATAACACTATAATTGCTGCAGAACTGAAATGAGGTTTAACGCCCTACTGTTCTGCAACGATTGGGCTAATGAAGACGGCAATAGCTTTAGATATAACGCATGGACACCCCAAAGATCCATAAGATTAAAACATCATTTCATGATATTATGGCATATATCAGAGTATAAAACTGAAGCAGCTAAATAAATAAAGATTCACAAAAATATGTTGTAACTTTGGTAAAATCTCCAGGTATATCAATCCCGACCGTTTATCTTGCGGTATCATCAAATATGCGTCGTTTTAAAAACTGATAATGTTGCTCTGTCTTAATTTCAAGTATATATGGTGCAAAATAAAATAAATAAATAATTCCCACCTGGACACCACAATATCCCGTTTTTGATAAAAAGTTTTCGCATTCAGCAGCAACTTCTGTCCATTTCCATTCAAAAAGATGAACTATAACTTGTTTTCCATCACAGTTTGGATTAGTGTATATACCGGATGACGACTGCACAAGAAATGTCAGAATAATGGCTGCAATTAAAAGGCGGTTTTTTTCTGATTTTTTTAAAAAAAAAAAAAATACTTTCTGTAGCTTGACACCATCCTGTATAGCATTTTTTTTTTTAGATTAGTTCAAATATTTAATACAGCGTAATGAATTATAATTATTCTTTTGACGAGCTAGAAATTAACATAAGTAACCGCTTAACTCCCCTTAGATTAGAAAAGAGAACATTCGTTATGCAACCAGGGTCGGATTTACATGAAGAGTGAACCTAGGCTATTCCACTTATGACACCCTTATGACTGCAGAACGATAAAAGTGTGTTTGGAAAATAAATAAGCAAAGCCGAGGATGATGGTGTATAAGACTACAGTGCAAGCCAGAAAAGCTTATACGGACCTTGACCGGGTGGGGGGACCCCTAGGCTTCAACCGGTCATGCCTATCGGTAAATCCGACACTGCATGCAATTGAGTAGACTATGTAAAATGTATAGCTTACCTATGAAATATATTATTTTCATTTTCTTATGAAAAATCCTACACACAAGCAAGTTTTAAGATTTACACAGCGTAAAGACCAGGTAAATGTACGGCGTATTTAGTAATCATAGCTTAGATAAATAAATCATCTATTTATTAAGTAATAATATCTTAGATAAATAATTTGCACAGCAAAGAACAATACTTAAAAATATTATCATAACTACACCTTGACCCGGATTTAATCGCACTTCTCAAGAAAAAAATCAAAACAGATTACTAACCTTTGTTCTGTAAACTTTCGCTGAATCTTGATGTTTGGTTGCGTCAAATTTGAAAAATAAAATCTCGTCAATGAATAAAATTGGTCACCTGTGGTTTTTTTAATAACAAATCTGTCGAAGATGCATGAACGAATGACCCAGTTGAATGGACGGGCCACTCAGTGGTATGGAACAGGATTTGTATTCTTTGTATGAAAAGTTTCCATTACTGAGTATAAGCACCGAATAAATGCAAAAACAAAATAAACCGAAAATATTGTTGATAACGCTTGAATCCGATGACTTTTTCTACCAGGATATATATAGCGGGGTTAGAGATATGCCTCCCTTCCGAAAAAAGACCTCTCTTTTGAAAAAGTGTCTTCATTTCTGAAAATGTTACCTCGAATTTCGAAATAGTTACCTCAAATCTTCATGAAAAAGCCCGAGTCAGTGTGATCATCACATTGCCTCAATGACAATCCCCCTCCTCCCCCGCCCCCCCCCCCCCCTCTCTCTCTCTCTCTCTCTCTCTCTCTCTCTCTCTCTCTCTCTCTCTCTCTCTCTCTATCGATGCCCTTCTGTTGTTCCAAGCAGATCCGACAAAACTAAAATCCAATCGCGCTCAATTTACGTATACACATGCTCTATCGATTAACCCTCCTTTTTTGTTGGCTCTTGGGCCTCCCTGGGATAGGGAACCAGTCAACGCTGCTGGTGGCCGAATGATTGTGGCTCGTACCCAATTTTCTCTGATTTCGCATTTAGCCCCGTATTAAAATAATCAAGGCCGGACTCTGTAGCTTCTGGGACCTTGGACCCACTGGTTTCGTTGGGCTCCTAATCCTATGGCGGCGAAGAATAGGCCTAGGGGGCCTAGCACTCTAGTTTGATTCACTATTCTTGCACCTCATCAATCAATTATTTTTCTCCTCCTATGGAGGCCAATATATTTTTCAGTGGATATAAAGATGAATTATTTTAGTTGTTTTGAAAAAAAAAATATATGTCAAATTATGTATTTCCAATCGGAGCCGATAGGCCCCTTGGCCCTCGATTCAAGTCTGTCCCCATATTACTTCTAAAAGATTAATTTATGATTTAATTTATTCTTTTGTGCCAATTATCTATCAACCATACTGCCAGACAAATTGTATTTGTGACGAACAATGACCAGAATATGTCCGTTTTTCACTGTTGATGCAAGGGGCGCTGGTGACATTTTCAGTCAAGGGCGGGTGCAAGTATAGTATGTAATTATATTTTCCCTGTAGATCCAGTAGACAACGAAATGCAAATAACGCTCTATAGTCCATGACCAATCCGATAAAACAACTCCGCAAACATTGTGGTTATCTCCCTTTATAAAGGTGGAGAAAATAAACAAGAAGTGGCTGCACTGTCTGTAACTTACTGTAAGTTTCAAGTTATTCTTAAGCCAACGGAATCAAAAGCAACCATGACCAAACTACTAATACAGTAGCATATTATAAATTCTTTAGCTCAGCATATAATAAATAACATATCATGTTTTGAATATTTAGTTTGTCATTCTTGTACAGCCCCCAGTGGGCCTACGTGAGTACGGTGAATAAACAGAATAATTAATCCTTCTGTAAATGTATGAATGTATCTGATTCTGCAAGTTGTGCTAATAGTAATACAGTAACTAAATGCTTTGAAAAAAATCAGACTAGTACTAGGCCTAGTAGGCCAATACCCAGTACCTCCATCTTCTGTCGGAGGCTAGGTGGGTAAAGGAGCTGGCTCGCTAGCCTGGAGGTCGGGTGTTCGATCCCAGCATTGGCCGAGAAAGTTCATCCCGATTTTCCGATGTGGTTTCCCCTTGTCAGTGATGCAGGACGGAGGGCCTGACAAGGACAGCTGTCTAGTCCTTTGGATGAGATGAAAAACCAAGGTCCCGTGTAAAAATTGGAATGCACATAAAAGATCCCTTGGCAGTTGGAATTCGGTATAAGAGTAGGCGATAGTGCCGCTGCCCCGGGTAAAATTTCCCTCATAGCACACTGTATGGCATATGCCCGTCTTCATTTGCCCAGTATAGGAGCAGAACAGTAGGACGTTAAACCCCATTTCATTTCATTTCCATCTTCTGCTGTCTTAATTTTCTCCATCTTATTACATCATGGGTCTATTGAGAATGATTTAAATTTTGTCTATGGACCAACTTGTATTGTAAAGGATTTTTATATTTAAATAACAGACCTGCCAAAAAGTGGTGAAAACTAAAATTACATTTAACCCATTATGTTTTCTGATGCCTTCTATGTGCTCTAATGATAAGCAAATAGATAGTTCAACAATTTTTCTTTAGTTATCTGACTGAACTCTGCAAATGAGAAGTGTTACCAGATGTTTTAGAAAGAGTAGGTCTAAGCATTCCGAGCCCAATGCTCAACACCTGTCACTATTTGTACCTAACTGGAACAATATGGGATGGACCATTTAATGAACTTTTATATTTTATATTTTAAGGTCAGACAACAAATAAACAAAATAATAGCCTACTTGAGAATAAAACTTACTCTTGAATACCAAAGGATAAAAACATTTTAAAAATGGCAGCAGTTACATTAGAAACGGAATCAGACTGGAGAAGAAGATTTAAACCAGATCTAAAAGTTGCAACATGGCGGAAACTAACTCTTGTCAGTGGAAATTATTTGTTAAAAACTTTCTTTACACAAAATTCTTATGAGGTACTGATCACTGACCTGTGTTCTTTTTGGCACGAAAAAATGGAAGAACAAGAATTGAAAAAGAGAATTCAGGTTTGTGTTGTTAAAAGATTTTTTACTAAGGAAAATATGTAGGCGGCTAGGACTATATGTATCTTTTTTTATAAAAAGCTACTAACAGCAGAATATATAGTCTCGGTCACAAAAGTTCCATTGCCCATGTGTAACCAGGAGTTGGAGAGCGCTAGATCGGAGATGATCCTGCACATATGATGTCATATGTGAATTGTGCATTAGGGTTAGGGTTAGTGCTAGCCCATCTTGAGACTGATGAAATCTGTCGGTCCTAACCCTCACCCTAACCCACATATGACGTAATGGACAGGTGACCCTACACCTTGTCACGTATAAGTGGGGAAACAAAACCACGCCAATTGCCTCAATGACAAACCTGATCCAACGCGCATGCGTTAAGCATTCGGCCACCCAACCCTCCTCATATCAATGTTGATTTAAAGTATCAAGTAATTCTTGTTTGCAATGTCGAAGACTGTGGATGATAGTTGTCTTTAATTTAAATAAGTTTAGAATGGCTTGATTTGCTCATCACTGGACAGTTTGCTGACTTTGGGGCCTTGCTTTGTTTGTTTTAGTATTTTTTAATTGCTGTTTAAAGGTCTTTGAATACAGAATATAAAATTATACATACATGTAGTTGTGTATGGACCATGGAATATTTGTCCCATGTGTCCCACTGATCCAGAGCTGTTCACCAGAACTTTCTGAATCAATATTAATACAGCACCATATGTTTTATCAAGAACGAAGATATCCAAATAAAAAACTGGATTGTTTTTTATTACATGTTAATAATTTATGGTTGAAACATAACTTTCATTGTTTTTCTGTTTAGAAATTGAATCCAAGTATAGAGGCACCATTAACCAAAGTTTTAGATCAAATTAATCAAAATGTTAACATTCCGATGAATCAAGATGATCATTTATCTGTGACAATGAAAGACTGTGAAGATGGCGGTCAGAATTGTATTATGTCAATTAATTCACAATTAGCTGGAATGCCTTTTATCTGGAAATTTGTTTGTGAACCAGCAGATAGTGAATTGGTGAGTATGAAATTGTAGGGGGAGGGGGTATTTGCTCTTTTGGTCTACTGCATTGAAAAAAAAAGTTGTTTATTTGTTGGGGCAGTGGAAGGTTGCAAGAAGTCGCTTTACACGATTTTATGAAAACATGAAAAAACAAGATCTTTTGTACAGATTGGCATGCACGATTGAAATTCAAAATAAAGAGTAGATTGTAGTGTTGCTGTCCGAGCATTATTTTCCTTGTAGCACACTGCATGGCGTATGCTCATCTTCATTATCCCAGTCGGTGCAAAAAAAGCAGGACATTAAACCCCATTTCATTTCATTTCTGTTTGACATAGCCTAATGGATGTCCATTTTTTTCAAAAATTTAATTCTCATTGTCCTTCATAAACTATGTGTCTAAATGGTATGCATAGAACCTTGAGGATTATCCATTAATGTCTTGTATTTGTCGATCACCATCAGAATGATATCTCATTTCTATCCTTGAACATCAAGGCCATGATGGTATCTAACCTACCGGGTACTCTTTTGTTTTTAATCATCAAAATTCTACTTAAAGAATGCATTTCAACTCCTATTTTTTATGTATTTTGAATAATAAGAATGCTTATCATTGTTCCTTGTGTGCATTGAATAATGGCTATTCTTTTTATTGGCTGCATTGCATTTCTTTTAGTAGAAATGTAAATATTCCATCTTAATTTCAGGCTAAAGAAAATCTCACAGTACCTCTTATGGCTATGGTTTCGGAATTGTTACGTCGTCAACAAGAATTATTTAGTATTATTTATAAAAAAGATAAAGAAATTGAAGATTACAAGTCACAGGGTGCCAGAATCAGTAGAAGTAAGCCCCCACCCCACCCACTTATTACAAAAAAACAATTTTATAATATTATTAAAAATCAGTCATTATCATTTTTCAGACAATATCTAATTTCTCACAGATTATTCCACATTAAAATATACTCAGATCGATTATAATATAACACTAGCAAGATATCCGGCTTTGATTGCCTAAATAATTCACAGGGTCATACTGTTTAATTTGATACCGCATATTATGTGGGGGCTGGAGCATGATGACGAAGCGTGATGGGTGAACATATACACACACACAGACATCTTTGATTTTTATAAAGAAAGCAAAACTACAATATTGGGGGTAAACAATCTCCCAGATTTAGACTGATTTAGAGATTCAACTTTCACAACATTATAGTTTGCAAAGGAATTAAAACTACCTCAACTGACGATCAAGCACAGATAAGTCTTAAAGTGACTGACTGCCATTAAAATTGAAACTATTAACTACTTTTATGTTTTATAGATATATCATTAAGGTTTGACTAAATATGTTTATATTTTTCAGGATATTTAGTTACACCACCATTTAATGCAATAGGATTTTTCCACAATATGAATGTATCTGCTGTACGTATTCATGTTTACTTTCAAATTTGTATCTTTGCCTAGTCTAGTAGTATTGGATAAATTAAAATCGATCCTACTTTTCTACACCAACTGGGCTAATAAAGATTGGCATACGTCATGCGGTATGCTATGAGGGACATTTTGCCCTGACAGCGGCACTCAAAGGATCTTTTAACATTCTGTGAATAGTATACACAGGACCTTGGTTTGTTGTCTCAAGTTTGCTATCATAATATGGAAAGGGCATTTTCACCACTTGGTCATGGGATGTCATTAGGGAAACAATAGCCCTGATTCTCAATTGTGACACTTACTTAGACTAGTTTTATAACTCATCACAACAAATAGATACAATATTCTAATGATAACTAAATAAAGATTTGGGATATTGCAAATAGTGGGTGTTGGATTGTCAGTCCAGAACATTCCGAACTAACAGAATTGCAATCAAATTACACAGAATTGTGTCCAAACACAGTTCTGCCAGTCGCAAATACAGATATTGTGTTACCAGAATTACGAAGAAATCAAAAATGGAATGAGATTTACTGTTCTGCTCCGACTGGGCTAATGAAGACGGGAATACGCAATACAGTGTGCTATTAGCAAATTTTGCCTACTCTTATATCAAATTCCAACTGCCAAGGGATCTTTACGTGCACACCAATGTGTACATGGGTCCTTAGTTTTTTGTTCCATCCGAATTACTATATGTTGTCCCTTGCCAGGCCCTCGGTCCTGCACCACTGACAAGGAGGAACCATTCTGGAAAATCCCAATAAACTTTCTCAGCGAATGCAGGGATCGAACACGGGACCTCCAGGTTAGTGAGCCAACATCTTACTCACTGAGCCACCATAGCTCCCATGAAGAAGTCGAACCTTGTTTACTCAAATTTCACTATTATTGAGATTATTCAACTGCAGAACCTTCAATTGAGTATTCGCCTTCATATCTCAGTCAGACATTTTTATACGCCCACATTGAAATGTGGTCGTAAATTGTCGTCGCCCCCGTCCGTCCGGCGTCCACAATTGCTTGTGGACGCTCTAGATGCTAAAGTTAATATCCGATTGAATTATGGCCCTTGATCACTTCAAAAAATCTTGTGGATGCTCTAGAGGTCAAAGTTAATATCCGATTGACTTCAACTTTATACACAGTGTTTGAGGTCATGAGACGAAGAAGCCTTTTGATTTTCAACGATTTTCGATAATTACTGCCTGAGTTATGGCTCTTGATCACTTCAAAAAATCTTGTGGACGCTTTAGAGGTCAAAGTTAATATCTGATTGACTTTAAAATTATACACAGTGTTTAAGGTCATGAGATGAAGAAACCTATTGATTTTCAGCTATTTCCAATAAATACTGCCAGAGTTATGGCCCTTGATCACTTTGCAAAATCTTGTGGACGCTCTAGAGGCTAAAGTTAATATCGGATTGACTTTAAATTTATGCACAGTGTTCAAGGTCATGAGACAAAGAAGCCTATTGATTTTTAGCGATTTCCGTTCATTACTGCCAGAGTTATGGCCCTTGATCACTTTGAAAAATCTTGTGGACGCTCTAGAGGCTAAAGTTAATATCCGATTGAATTTATACACAGTGTTTAAGGTCATGAAACGAAGAAGCCTATTGATTTTCAGCGATTTCCGATAATTCCTGCCAGAGTTATGGCCCTTGAACACCTTGAAAAATCTTGTGGACGCTGTAGAGGCTAAAGTGAATATCCGATTGACTTTAAATTTATACATAGTGTTTGAGGTTATGAGATGAAGAATCATATTGATTTTCAACGATTTCGGATAATTACTGCCAGAGTTATGGCCCTTGATCATTTTGAAAAATCTTGTGAGGCTCTAGAGGCTAAAGTTATCATCCGATTGACTTTAGATTGGTACACAGAGTTTAAGATCTTGAGACAAACAAGTACATTGATTTTCAATGAATCTTTATGACTTGAACAGCTAAATCCATGATGTTAAAAGTTTTGTATACTAAATATTAGCATGGGGCAAAACTTTATAAAAACCAAACAAATTCTAATGGTTTTCTGATAATTACTTAATGAGTTGTTACTCTTAATCAGATTTTAATGTATTATAAATGTTTCATTACCGAAAAAAGTAAAAATATGCGACAACTCTTGTTGACTGCCCGGACGATATAGCTGCTGTGGGCGTATGTTTCATTGCCTGGCAACCTATCTTTAATCCCAGTTGTACATCAGCTGGTAGAAATGACCCCCAAAAGAACTCTGTATATATGCAAACTAAAGATGAATTATATTACCAGGGTTTTGAAGCTGAAATGAGAAAGAAAGGAATGTATGTATTTAATGAGATAGGAGGTAAATTATATGAAGCTGTAATGATAAAACAAGCCTGGATTAATAAATCACCTCTTAAAAGTAAGTTCTAATTCAATAAATCACCTCTTAAAAGCAAGTTATAATGAAATAAATTAACTCTTAAAAGTTATAATTAATAAATCACCTATTAAAAGTAAGTCAGAATAGTATTAATAAAAGCATTTCTTTTATACGCCCAATTTGAAATGTAGTCGCATTTTGTCATTGGTCCCTCCTCCCAACGATCTGGCATCTACAATTGCTTGTGGATGCTTTAGAGGCTAAAGTTTGATATCCCATTGACTTTATATTTATTCTCAGTGTTTATAAACACAGCAGAGATTAGATTTATTGAAGGATCCTAGATCCTTATTAAATTTGGTCAACATCCAACTTTCCCTTTTTGATAAGCTACAGTTGAGGCATAGCTGCTTTGTAGGTGTATTTCCATGCTTTGTTTGAGTATCTTTCATTATCTATTTGTAAACTATTAATTTTATTATGGCAAGAATGGCCAGCTCTCTATCTAAATCTTACATAATGCATCTTTAACAAATTAAAATATACACCAATATCTAGAGAAACCCAGATGAAAAACCTCTTCTACAATTGGGTTTTAGTTGAATGGGTTTTAGACTTGTAAACAAAATCTATTTATAACTATGCATCTGCATACGTACATGGACTTAATGGCAGTTATCCAGGAGAAGTAGTTCTACTTCCATATGAATTAAATTTCCATTTGATTTGTTTGTAGGAAAAGCTGATGAATCTCTTGAAGATGCTGATAGTTTAACTGATGATGTTCCTAAAGAACCAAGTGTAGCTTCCTGGTCAAATAGATTACCACCATCCATGACAGAAACCAAGGCGGAATCTCCAAAATCATCTGTTAATAATACCCCTGAAAGTTCACCAGCTAAGGTAAGATTGTGTAAGCAACTCATTTAATTGAGCTAAAAGATAATCAATTGCTTTTGAGTCTCAAGGCTCTGATCCTTATTGATCTTTATTCATGACAATTATTATTTATTGGTGTGTACATATTAACCCTCTCGCCTTGTGTCTTTTCATACATCCTACCTACTTGTTCACATACATCTTTCCTTCATGACTTGGTGAGATACATCCTTCCCAAGTTAATCCATGATATTCCTCCTTTCTTCAGTGATGTTCAGATACACACTTCATCCTTGGGTGTCAAAAAGCATCACTTCTTCTTGGTTGTTCTAGAACACCATTTCCATTTTATTTAAATCCCAGGAGTTTTCAAGTCTGGTGGGAGCCACGGTGGCTCAGTGAGTAAGATGTTTGCTCACTAACCTGGAGGTGCCGTGTTTGATCCCGGCATTAGCTGAGCAAGTTCATTGTGATTTTCCGGCGTGGGTCCTCATTTCCTCCTTATCGGTGGTGCAGGACCAAGGGCCTGGCAAAGGAAAATGTATAGTTTGGCGTGCATGTAAAAGATCCCTTGGCAATTGGAATTTGATATCAGAGTAAGCTGTAGCGCCGGTGTCATGGCAAAATTTTCCCTCATAGCACACTATATGGCATATTCCCGTCTTCATTAGCCCAGTCGGAGCAAAACAATAGGACGTTAAACCATATTTCATTTCAAATCTGGTTCCCAGGTGTCTGAACCTGTTATTCATCAAAATCCTCCAACTCCGCATTAAAAATGTGATATTAGTATAAATAACCATATTTTAGTTTCAAAATGACCAAAGTATCGTGTTAACTTGACCATAAACTCCATGGCTGTCTGTTCCTTTAGGTGTTCACATACATCCCTCCGTCATGGGTGTTCACATACACACTTCCTCCTTTCTATTATGTTTCTACTACACGAGTACCGCTCTCTTTAATTGTAAAAAAGACAACACAGAAATGAACCAATCTTTTTTTTTTTTACAGGAAGAATTATTACGCCGAGAACGACTAGAACGCCAATTACAAGAAGAAGAGCAGAAAAAACAAGAAAAGGCTAAAAAAAAGAAAAAAATGGCATTTTGATATATATATACCAATATTTCACAGAAACACCTTCATTCTTTATTTACAGTGTATCATATTCATTTTTATTTCATTTTTATTTCATTTTTTAAGATTATATAAGTTAGAGTAAATCATGAAATAGTAAATTGTTGTGCTAGATTAATTTTTTTTTTTATTGTTCATTGATATAAAAATATTTATTATTTAATAAGTATCACTTTATTAATTGGTACTGTCTTTTATTATATGTGGTTTTGAGTCCCCGGTTGTACGTGACAAGGAGTAGGGGCACCTGTCCAACCTCGTGGGTTTTCTCCGGGTCCTCTGGTTTCCTCCCACTGCTAAAGACCCCTACGCGCAAGCAAATTATGGAAATAAAATTGAACCATATGTTAGTCCCGAAATGACCTGGTTTGAGTCAAGTGGACTTTAAACCCCATTTCTCTCTCTCTCTTTTATTATATTTTATTTGTTTCAAATATTGCTGTCCACTGCAGACACGCCTACAACACTTAGAACAGGGGCTTGTACAGAAAAATGAGCAGGTGGCGGGCAGTCCCTGTTTCTGCGTGACTAACCATAAAGTCTCCTCAGAAAATTTTGAAAGTTTAAAGTCGAATACCTTGCATCTGAGGACATATCTGAAGGAAATTTACCCTTTTAAATGTATAGGCTTTCTCCTAGGCGCTGTCCTGGTAAGAATTGCTGGAGGACCAAAATATGTTTTTTGTATTGCCAAACCATGTTCTTCTATTCCCCTCCCCCCTTTTGATTTATAATATTTTCTAGGTGGTGAATATTCATAAGTTGGAAGCGAAAGAACTAGGAAGTAAATAGACGTACGCGTGCAGTTGGGGTAATCATGAACGAAAATGACCAATAGATTTCTTGACGGGGGAAGAAAATAATCGAGGTCAACCACCTTCAATAGATTTTATCACATGATTACGTGACATATTGGCCGCTTTGTGGTTATAATATAAACACGAAGATTATCGGAATTTGAATCAAATAAATGTTACAGGCCACAGATTAGCATGTGTTTTCATATTGAAGTAAGAGGCCATTTGGATTGACGTCACAATAATATTCGTTGTGTTTAATGGAGTGGTTTCCCTTGAACAACGTATGTAATTGGAGTTTTTGAACTACGACCCAGTTTGAGAGAAGTGAGCCATATTATGATCATGTAGACGAGGATATAGTTTATACATCAAAATAATCCAAGCTTAACTTCAGTTGATAAAAATTTGAAAATATACGATATTAAATATGCTGAAGAATTTGAGTATGAATATAAAAAGGAAACTACTCGAGTGTGTAGAATGCAGCTAAATCAAGACAATCTTAACTAATATTATCAAAATTTTCTACAACGTGAAATGGGATCTTAATCCTTCAGCACATCGTACACGTAAATATTGACTAACCCAATTCCCTAGAAAAAAAATAGAGAAAGCTGATTTTTTATTATATTGATTATTTTATCTCATTTTCGAAACTACTGCTAGACCGCTAGACGGTTTGTATGCGAGATGGCAGTATAGTTTAACTATATGCAAAGTTCTAGCATACACATGATCCTACCCTAGCTAAAAAATATTTCATTTTAGAGAAAAAAAACCCCAACAAATCAACACGATGTGTTTTGGATTAGTTGGTCACAAACTGGAATTGTAGAAACTACATGTAAATTTACCATTTTATATACATTCTGGGCAAAGAATGGCGGAAGCCTATTTTGCAGAGAGAAGAAAATAATTAATCTTGTCCTTTTTAGAGGAACAACACAATCTAATGTATCTCTGATCGCAGATGAGCATAGAATTACAGAAATTAGGCAAACTTAATTTACGATATTGCCTATATGGATGGTTCAATTTTATTTCAATAATTTGCTTGTGGGTAGGGATCTTTAGCAGTGGGAGGAAACCGGAGGACCCGGAGGAAACACACGAGGTTGGAAAGGCGACCCTACTCTTTGTCACGTACAAACCGGGAATCGAAACCACGCCACTTAACCCAAATGACAGACCTTATGATCTAATTTACCATATTGCCTATAATATATTACACTGGTAGAACGAGGTATGGCATAAGTTTTTAAAACTATTCTTTCTGTGGATAAACATCGGAGGGCAATTCAGTTGTGAAAAAATAATTCTTAGACGAGATTAAAATTTTAAGAAATTATTCTGAAACCAACAAGCTAATATTTTGGCCTCTACTGCCCCCACCACACCCTCCTCCGTGGGCGTTGGTTCAGCTTCATTATTTGCACAATAGTAAATCTGGCACTGGACGAAAGTTTGTGCACTGCTCCCCTCCCTTCCTTGGTGCCCTAGGTACAGGCTTGTTTTGGTTAATACATAATGTATACCAATCTATTTAAATTTATACCCGTTTCTTTTTTGCTTTTTTCTGTTACCCCACTTAAAGAATTATTAGTGCCCTGTTACCCCACTTAAAGAATTATTAGTGCCCTGTGACTCTTTGTCGATTTTTTTTTTTTATTTGATTGAAAACATGTATACGGTTACATCTGACATGGCTAAATTATTACCGCAAAACCCCAGAGATATGAACGTTTTAATATTCAATTTACGAGCTTTCAAATGAGATTAAAAAAACGCTGGTGATAAAATACCTTACACTATAATAGTAGGTCACTTCTTGCATTTGTCGATAATTGATTGGGTCAACTGGAATTGACTGTTATGTTTTACAAATAATTCCACTGTAATAAATAGGTGTCAATTGTCACTTCATCTATCCATTTACCAGACTTTAAATTTAAGAGAATGGAGAAATGAGAAGGGAGTTGTGTTGGCCAACCAAAACCAAAACGGGAAAGATTTCTGTCTTTCATATAACTATTTCATTTTGTTTACTACCCGGTCATAAGGGTCATGTTCACCGTAAAATGGCATATTGCTAGTGAAAGAAAGGTGTCTTACAAATTGCTTCAGTTCATCGGAGTTCTAATTTCGTGTAATTTTTGAGTCGCGTGCCGACTATTATGGTCATAAGTGGATTAAAATGACAATATTCGTGTATATTAAATACATATTACAGGCCGATATCTTTTCATTTTAAACTGATAACAATCAACCATAATATACACTTTACAATAACGCATAAACGGTCCTTATAACTTGCGCGATTAACATAAAGCAATAGTATGTTTTGTCGTTTACATCGCGACCGACGCCACTCGAAATCTTAAAGACCTTATAACTTGTGACAATCATATTGGAAAATTACTCTAATAAACTCTCATAATGACACCGATTATATAGCTCACTAAGGTAACTCGATTCGAGATGAATTTTGATGCGTAACGAATTGCACTCCTGGTAAATGTAGTCATTTCAAATATGAGTTTGAATGATAGGCCCACTCTATTGATCGACTTATTTCTAAAAATGTTTAAACTAAAAGACTAAATGAGGTTTATCGATCGGTCTATTTATTATTTCGGAGTTTTGGGATTAACTATAGCTTTAATTATAATTTTTCCAATAAACACGTGTAAATAAACGTTTCCATACATCGATAATCGGTTATAAGGCGTAAAAAGAAAAAAGAAAAGAAAAAAAATTAATCACATTATTAATTGATCATAAATATTAACCTGATCTTTTTTTTTCTAACATTTGTCAATAAATATTAGTCCTTTCAACAATTGTTTGTAAATGGGATATTAACTATGCACGAATAACTTTATTTAATATTTCGCACATTAATTTAATGAACCGTTTTGGTTTTTCCCTAAAAATATATTTTTGATTTTATATATATAGATATAAATTATAGATGCCGATTTACGATACATTCACAACTAAAACTGAAAATGGTGATCCGAAATTACTGGAATGAGGTTCACGCTTCGTCGGCACTTTTCAGATCATTTTTAGTCTTCTAACACGTTACTCTTGTCACTTGCATTGATGACGGACCATATAAACCCCACCAAAGTTATCCCTAACCTGATAAATGGATTTCATGGGGTTTTTTTTCTACTCTTCTCAGACACGTATTCGAACCCGCAAGAACACGGCTGGTACCGCAACTGCTTGGGTTAATAATGTTTTATAAAATAAATGAAAGGAAATGGGGTTTAACGCTCTATTTATCTGCTCTGACAGGGCTAATGAAGACGGGCGTACGCAATACAATGTGGTATGAGGGAAATTTTGTCCGGACGGCTGCGCTACGGCCTACTCTTTTATCGAATCCCAAGCCAAGGGATCTTTTCTGTGCACGCCGATATGTCGCATTCCAGCGACTATAGGCCTAATTATTTCTTTGACTAAAATAAGAAACCGTTACCATATATAATTTAATTGCAAAATTTCTATTTCCGTATTCGGTGCATGTCTGTTTTGAAACATTTATATTGTTAAAAATATATGTTATTTAACATTGCTTTCTATAAATACCGTAATATTCTGAGCGATAGTTCGGTACTAATTATCAAATTCTGACCATGTCTAAAAACAATAACTAAGCCACAGGAACCAATTATGATTATTTATAAACAATTACCTTCGAGAAGAAAAATCTTAAGACGTTCCAATTCAGATATTCGGGTAGATTTAAGAAAGCGAGCTAGCGAGAGAGAGAGAGAGAGAGAGAGAGAGAGGGAGAGAGAGAGAGGGGAGAGGGGGGGGGGTCCACTCGACACAAACAAGGTCTTTTGGGGACTTCAGCAACTGGAGAAAAGCAAACGACCCAGAGAAAACCCACGAGGTTGGACAGACGGCCCTACCCCTACTTTTTACCATCAAATAAGCTCCAGGCCAAAGATTTTGACTTTGTCGGTTATATGTTATAATTGATTACAGATGCGCATGTGGCACAGTTGGCTTCAATTTAACCAAACAAAAAGGTGGTGGAAATGCTTGCAAACCCGTTCAGATGGTGTGTTAGCTTTCGGGCGACAAAGTTATGGTGGTGTAATTAAGCAAAAACTTAACTGTGTCCGTCTGAAGGTATTGTTTAGGGGTTAGTTCAAGGGGCAATTACCAACAACACTAGTCACCAAAAGTTGTTTAATTGTTTAATATAAAAAAAATAGTAGCAACAAAACGGCTACCCACGCAATCCATATATCTACCAGATCCTGACTTTAACATTTTGGAGACTTTTGAAAAAGAAACTCTTAATTGTGTTTATCATTTTCACACTTACAAACGAGGACAAACACTTTTGAACAAGGC